ACCTCATCTTCATCCTCCGCGTGACGTCGTCGTCGCCACAGGCTCAGACGCCCACGTCGCACAAATTGCACGGGATTAACGTGCACCACTTGACGATTTGACGCTAAATAAATATAATTTTTAATTAATAATAATAATAATAAATCTTTTTTTAAATGTATAATTTTGTTTCAGCTCAGCTTACCTACTCCTACTCCTGTGTTACCGATGATCCTATGACGAAACTCATCAATATGACCACCAGCGTCATCCTCCTCATGATTGAAACACTCACGCACTTCTATATGTCGCGAGATTGTTAGCGTCATCACACTATCACAGTGCCCCAGTTTATGCATAACGCATAGTAACGTACTGGAGCACTCTCGCGTAAAGTGCTCGAAAACTTTGTAATTGTTTTCATTCTCGTCTGATAATTTCAATATATAGTCTCTTGCAATCAATTTTTGATTAAGATTGCAAGCAACTATAAAAAATTTAGATAATAAATCACGAAGAGCCATTTTTTCACACTCACAATAAGATTTACAGAAAGCACGCCCTCGGAAAACTGTTCGATACAACGAGAAGTCAAAGCCAAACTAGAGTTAAATTTTTAACCTACGCACTATTTATTCATTCGAAAATATGCTAAAAAGGGCGTTTCCTTATTTCCTTCTCCTAAGTTTGTTCAGCTAATCACTAAGGTTCTACATATTTTTTGTAAGTATTCTTTCTTAGAAAGTCGACTATTTCTTATTTGCTAAAAGCTTTTCTAAGTTAAATGATCTTTTTTTTTCCTTACCGTATAATCGACAAAAAATTTACTCTTCTGTCAAACCATATTTCATTTTTTCAATAATTTTTGAAAAGCAGAACGGACAGATTATCATAAAACAAATTTGTACGCTTCTGTTCGTTCTTACCTGCCTGTCATTCCTAGACTTTTTTTTTGAAAGGCTATCCCTTTTTATCTTACAGAATTTAAAAGAATTTTTTTGTTAATTTGGACAGGATCCTTTCTTCAATATGATGTATAACTCAACAGTCGAAATGTCATAAAACGAATTTGTACGTCCCTGTCCCCTCTTATTTACCTCTCCCTGTAAGTCTTCTTTGAAAGGCTATCACATTTTTTCTTACAGAATAATTTAAAAGAATTTCTTATTAATTTGGGCAGAATCCTTTCTTCAATAATTTTTATAACTCGGCAGTCGAAGTATCGTAAGACGAACATGTCCGTTCTTGTTTTACCTCTCCCTTTCAAACTTTTTTAAATTTTAACGGAAAAAATATAGAAAAATCTAGACTTTTTTGCTTTTTCTTCTGCGCGCGCAGAATAATTTTTGTAAAGTAACATCGACGAGAGGGGGATGATGTCGTCGGTAGCGTCACGAGTCCGCTTCATTCGAGTCTCGTCGTTCCTAGCTCCAACTTCGTGAGCAAGCAAGCAAGTACTGTACTTCTTAGTTTTGACCCATCCAACTTGGATTATTCGTGTCATTTGGTGCTACAGCGAAGTAAGAATAATGGACAGCTTAAAAGTCGCCAATAATTCGAACGAGCAAATGTACTCCAACCCGAATTGCTTCAAGCCGCGTAACAACGACGTAGGAAGAAGCACACGATTTCATATGCTGTTTACGACAACGTATGGTCTCAACAACTCTCATACGAAGACGATTCATGTGGGTCTGCAAAGAACGAACGAGGGAATCTTCAAGTCTCTTGTAAAATTGAGCGGAAACAGTGCTGACGGTATTTATTTCGACGCCGAGAGTTGGAAACAGTTTCAAGACATGGACTACATGAACGAATATTTAACTAGTGATAACCGAACGAAAACGAATTCTGTTATCATAAAAAATATCTCTATCAGTTTTACCACATCTTATGGTGCGAAATCAATATTATTGGCGTATAAAGACGAAGAAGAGGAATTTCGTTCTATGGAAAATATCAGCGGGAATCTCCGAAAAGAAGAGGTCGCGTCCGATTCAACGCCGCCGTCGAAGAAACGCAGAACCTTCGCAGTAGCTATTGTAATGCAGAAGACTACCTTTCTCGGTTTGCAAAACATTGTGAATGTGTCGACGCGCATTTAAACCATTTAGAATCTTTAACCGATAATGTTAACAAGTGCGCACAGTATTTAATTCGAGAAATCGAGCTGAAACTTCCTGTAAGTTATGTTAATCAGGAAATTATAAAATTAACGCTACGGGGAAATTACGACGAAATTGAGCGCAACGTACGTACACAAATTAATGATTTAACTTTTCTTGATATGTATTTTAATATAATATTTTTGGAATTAATTTCATTGCGCTACAATGAAATTTCTTATATAATCCTCTCAAATCGTGAATCTTTCGCTTAATGTTTCTAAGCCGTTTTTTAGATTATTTTTATATGTATTTTCCTATGAAGAA